GTGTGGCTTGGAGCGAAGCGCGCGCTTGGCCGAGCGGCGTCAAGTGGCCCTATTGTTCGCCGAATACGGAAGATGTTCCGAGATCTATGCACGAGGTGTCGGGACGACCGTGCCGAGCTTCGAGTAAGCGTCGCGCACCGTCGAAGGTGTCGAAGAGCGTCGAAGGCGAAATCGAAGTGTTAGGAGACTAAGTCGAAGTGCCGGGCGGGATGCGAGTGCCGAAAAGAGGTGAATCGGGGCCCAGAGGGGCTTGGCGCCTATCAACGGTTACCCGAAAGGAAGCCATACGATCATGCGATCGAACTCATGCCCGGCTACTCGACCTTCCACTCTAAGGTGTACCCCTTGTCGAACAACGAGCAGGAGGAACTAGACAAGTTCCTAAAAGAGCAACTAGCGAAGGGCTACATACGGGAGTCGAAGTCGCCCATTTCATCCCCCTTCTTCTTCATCAAAAAAAAGGAAGGGACGCTTCGACCCGTACAGGACTACCGCCAATTGAACGCGATCAAGGTATCAATGAGTGGCCGGTGCCCCGGAACAAAAAAGACGTCCAGAAGTTCCAGGGGTTCTCCAACTTCTACCGCCGCTTCATTAAGGACTTCGCTAAGATCTCGCGACCACTCGACCGGCTCACAGGGAACGACCCATGGCATTGGGGCGAGGAAGAGCAGCATGCCTTCGATGAGCTCAAGTGGCTCTTTGCGACGACTCCAGTCTTGGCGCTGTACGATCCTAATCGAGAGACGCGCATTGAGGTTGATGCCTCGGGCTATGCCACTGGCGGCGTGTTGATGCAGAAGCAGGATGATGGCAAATGGCATCCCATCGCCTTCAGATCCCATGCGATGGATCCGGCACAGCGGAACTACGAGATCTACGATAAGGAGATGCTCGCGATCATTGAGGCGCTAGACGATTGGCGCCACTACCTCGAGGGGTTACCCAATCAGTTCGAGATCGTGACCGATCATAAGAACCTCGAGTACTGGCGTACATCCCAGCATCTCACGCGCCGTCAAGCGCGATGGTCGCTGTTCCTGGCTCGCTTCGACTTCCGCATCATGCACAAGGCCGGGACGTCCAATGGAAAGGCTGATGCCCTGTCGCGTCGATCAGACCATCAGATCGGCGATGAGGACGATAACACCGATCAGGTGGTTCTCAAGCCAGAGCGCTTCCGCATTGCCTCCGCCAGGCGCGGTCATGCCTTGGTGATGGCCGATCAGTTGCTTCTGAAGCGCATCAGGGAATGTTCAGAGAAGGATCGGGAGGTGGCCGAGGCCCTTGAAAAGGTACAGGACCTCGGGCCGCCCCGGCTGCAAAGGGGTTTTGAGGAGTGGAATGCCGAACAAGGGCTCCTGCTGTTCCGTGGGTGCGTGTACGTCCCAAAGAATGCGGAGCTCCGGCGGGATATAGTCAAGATCCACCACGACTCACCGATCGCCGGTCATGGTGGTCGTGCCAAAACCCTAGAGCTCGTGTCGCGGAATTACTGGTGGCCTGGGATGTCCAAATTCGTCAATGAGTACGTAAGCACCTGTGACGTGTGCAACCGTACCAAGACATTCCCAGCCAAGCCCCAGGGTCCGCTGAAGCCGAACGAGATCCCCAAGCGCCCGTGGCAGATCATCACAACCGATATGATTGTCGGCTTGCCGAAGTCTGATGGGTTTGACTCGATCCTGGTCACCACCGACCGCTTTACCAAGCAGGTCCACTTCTCAGCCTGTCATGAGACCCTGACGGCAGAAGGGGCGGCAGACTTGTACATCCGCAATGTGTTCAAGCATCATGGGGCCCCGGCCAAGGTCATATCAGACCGAGGTCCCCAGTTCGCTTCGAAGTATCTCCATGCGGTGTACAAGGGTCTGGGAATCGAGCCGGCGCTGTCCACAGCGTTCCACCCTCAGACAGACGGCCAGACTGAGCGCTGGAATCAGGAGATTGAGCAGTACCTGCGTGCTTTCACAAGCCACAGGCAGGATGATTGGGCGAAGCAGTTGCCGCTCGCGGAGTTCGCACTGAACAACCGAGTTCACTCCGCGACCGGGCACTCCCCTTTCTTCCTGCATCAAGGGTACCATCCTGAGATCCAAGTGCGGATCAATCCGATGTCCGCTATGCCCGCTGCCGCTGATCGGCTCAAGATCCTGAAGGAGATTCGCGATGACACGCACTCTGCGCTCGAGCTGTCAGCCAAGCGCATGAAGGTGTACTACAACAAGCACGTGCAGGAGGCACCGGTCTTCACACCGGGGGACAAGGTCTGGCTTGACGCTCGGAACCTTAAGCTGAAACAGCCGAGCAAGAAGCTCAGTCCCAAGCGCCTCGGACCATATGCCGTGCGGCGAAAGCTCGGAGACCTGGATTACGAATTAATCCTGCCGAAGTTGGTGCCAGTACACCCGGTGTTCCATGTCTCCTTGCTTAGCAAGTACACACGTAGCGATATCCCGGGGCGAGAGCCGGAGGAGCCGCCTGCGATTGAGGTTGAGGGCGACGAGGAGTACGAGGTTGAGCGGATCAAGGATTCGCGGATCTTCCGGCGTCAGCTGCAGTACCTCGTCAAGTGGAAGGGTTATGACGACTCGCATACGTCATGGGAACCGGCGCGCAACGTTGCCAATGCGCCGGCCCTCATAGCCGACTTCCACCGGAAGAACCCGAACGCCCCTTGTCGTCTCAATGCTGCTACCTTTGGTGGTCTCAACTTTCAGCCAATGCCTTCGCCGCTGACTGAAGCACGATGCCGCTCCGGGTGGGAGATGGGCAAGGGCGCCTCGCATGAGGTCATGCGCCGTTGAGGGGGGGGTAATGTCACGAGTTGGTACGGCGTCTAGCCGTTTTTTAATTTTTCCTTTTCGCGGGCTCGAACCCGCGACCTCTGTACTACATACCCGATATGGACGCGCCGCTATCTACTGTACGATTAGATTAGATGGGGCGGCAGCGCACGGCACAGCTCGGGCTCCGCTGACACAGCCGCTCTGACTCACCGGCCCCCGGGGCCGCGTCGGCATGCTGTGCACGGACCAGCTGCGCACGGACCAATGCGCACAGCCTCCCCTAAACATCCCCTGTATATAAGCCGGCCTCTGCTGCCCTAGGGACCTCAGTTTCGACCTCTTGTCCCTAGGTCAGTAAGCTCCCATTTGTATCCCTTACTTACCTTCACTAACTAATACATTTACTTGTCCCTAGCCTTAGGTTTGAGCCTCGCTCACCATCGCTTCGGTGAGAACCAGTCGAACGCCCCTTGCTTTTAGGTATTCCCCTGTCGCTT